CCTTGCAACATGCCCAAAGTATGTCAGATGGAGCCTCAGAATCCTTGCCTCCAAGGAGCATCCTGGTTTCACCCTCTCTAGAATGAACCAGTTTGTTCTCCTGGCAGTCCATGGTATATTCAACACTCTTCCAGCATCACAGCTCAAAGGCATCAATTCTGTTTCTGTCATTCCTAGTCACTGTCCAGCTCTCTGATGCATAGCAAGTAATTGCAAAGACTGTGGCCCAGAACAGGTACACCTTAGTCTCCAGACTGACATCATTGCTCCTCAGTACTCTGGAGAGGTCCCTAAAAGCTGACTTTCCAATGCAGTTTGTCTCTTGATTTCCTGGCTGCTGGTGCCAAGAGTGTTGATTGTGGAGCCAAGCAAACTAAAGTTGTTAACAATCTCAATCTCTCTACCATCTTCATCATACTACCAATCAGCCCAGTGGTGAGAATCTTTGTTTTATTGATGTTGAGCCTCAATCCATATTGAAGGCTGCAGTCCTCGACCTTCTGCAGCAAGCACTTCAGGTCCTCCTCAGTTTCAGCAAGCAGAGTTTTGTCATTTGCATAATGCATATTGTTGATGAGTCTTCCTTCAATCCTGTTGCCACACTTCTCCTCATGCAGCCCAGCCTCCCGGATGATCTGTTCTGCATATAGATTGAAAAGGTATGGAGATAGGATACATCCTGGCATACGCCCTTCCTGATTTTAAACCATGATAATATCGCCTTGCTCTGTTCTGACAACTGCCTCCAGGTCCAGGTAGAGGTTTCGCATAGGCATAATCAAATTTTCTGGGATTCCAATTTTTCTGGGAGTCAGCCACAGCTTGTTGTGATCCACACAGTCAAATGCCTTTGCATAGTCAATGAAACACAGATAGACATTCCTCTGGTATTCTCTGCTTTCAGCCAAGATCCATCTAACACTAGCGATTATATTCCTTGTACCAGGTCTCTTCTAAACCCAGCCTGCACGTCTGGCAGTTCTCTGTTGATGTGCTGTTCCAGTCGTTTTTGAATAATTTTCAGCAGAATTTTGCTTGCATGATATTAATGATATTGTTCGGTAATTTGCACACTCTGTCGGGTCACCTTTCTTTGGAATGGGAACAAATATGGCTCTCTTACAATCAGTTGGCCAGCGGGCTGTACTCTGGATTTCTTGGCACAACTTAGCGCATCCAGGGCAGCGTCTGTTGAAATATGTCAACTGGTACGCCATCAATTCCTGGAGCCTTGTTTTTGGCCAGTTCTTTCAGAGCAGCTTGAACTTCTTCCTTCATCGTGACAGGCTCTTGCTCATATGCTGTTTCATGAAATTCTTCTGTGTCCAACAATTCCTTTTGGTCCAGTGACTCTGTATACTCCTTCCATCTTCTTTTGATGCTTCCTGGATCATATAATATTTTGACCAAAGCATCCTTAAGTATTTCAGTTCTCGCATTGAATATGTTCTTCAGTTCCTTTAGCTAAAGAAATGCTGAGTGGGTTTGGCTCTTTTGATTTTTCTGCCTCCAGCTCTTTGCACATTTCATAATAATACTTTGTCTTCTTGTGCTGCCTTTTTAAAATCTTTTGTTCAGCTCCTTAATTTCTTGATTTCTTCCCCTTTCTTTGGCTTCTCGACACTCTAGTGCAATATTCAGAGTCTCGTCTGAAACCGTCTTGGTCTTTTCTTCCTTCTCTGCCTTTGTAATGACCTTATGCATTCTTCATGGATGATATTCTTGATATCTTCCCACAGGTCATCTCGTCTTCGCTTATTGGTGTTCCAGGTCTCAAACCTGTTCCTGAGATGGTTTTGAAATTTGAGTGGGATAGGCTTAAGGTCAAATTTTGGTTCCGGTGGATTTAATTTTCTTCAGCTTCAGCTTGAACTTGCATATGAGTAGTTGATGGTCTGTTCCACAATCAGCACCTGGCCTAGTTTTCACAGCTGATATTGAGCTTCTCCAGCAATTCTTTCCACAGATGTAATCAGTCTGATTCCTATGCATACTATCAGGTAAAATCCATGTGTATAGCCTGCGTTTGTGTTTCCAATAAAATGTATTTCCAATGAATAAATCATTGAATGCCCAGAATTCTATCATTCTATCTCCAGCCTCATTTCTGTCCATGTTTCCCAGCTACTGATCCTTCTTCCCTGTTCCCAACTTTTGCATTCCAGTCACCCATTATTATTAATGCATCTTGATTGCATGTTCGATCGATTTCTGACTGCACAAGTTGGTAGAAATCTTCTATTTCCTGCTTTTTTGCTCTAGTTATTGGTGCATATATTTGAATGACAGTGGTATAAACTGGGCTTCGTTGTATGCGTATGGATAGTACCTTGTCACTCACAGCACTGTATTTCAAGATGAATCTAGAAATGACTTTTTTTAAGCAACCCCATTTTTTCTCATCTTTTCATCTGTGGCATAGTAGATCATATGAACTTCTTGTTCAAAATGTTCCATGCTTCACCATCTCACTTCGCCAGTACCTAGTATGTCAGTATTTATGCGTTCTATATGAATGTTGTTGTTGTTGTTGTTGTTATGTGTCGTCTAGTCACTTGCGACTCATAGCGACCCTATGTACAACAGCCCTAAACTCCACTCTGTCCTGTGCCAATCGCACTGTCTCTGACACTCCCATCCTGATTACCCCAGTCACTGAATCAATCCACCTCA